ATACGTCGAGGATTGCGCTTGGCGACGGGGAGAAGAATCGATAGGTGGTCAGTCTATCGATCAGCCAGCCGCAGGTCAAATCTCCGTAGAGGCACTCTGCAGTGTGCTCGAAGTTCTCCAACTTGGGCGGAAACCACCCAAGCCTCTTATACGGCCAGCAAGCCAATCGCTAGCCGCCATGTGGGAATAATTTAGAAACAACCAATAGTGGGGGGTCGAATTTAAATACAAATGGCGGGAACTCCTTGCAATGTGCATTTCTATGCTGCAAAGAAGAAATGCACCCTGCAAAGAAAGCTTCAAACGGCGGGAAAATAATTCAGCAGTGCCAAAGCGCACACAAACAAAAATCACACCCTTGGGTTGTGACACCATCCAGGTGTATCTTAAACTGCTTTCAAAATGGCTGAAGCCAGTTTATGTGCACTAAACTTCTGTTGTGTTGTGTGTCAGCTTTGAACTGGTTTCCAATCACTTATACCAGTTTATGTATAAGTACTGTCCCTAGCCTCTGTATTCATATGCATATTAAAATACCAGTACACCAGTCTTCAAAAGTCAGAATTTGATTTATTTAGTCATTGAACTGTTCTTTTATTCAACTTTTTATGTTTTTTGTTTGCAGCTTAGGGTGAAATCCATATATTTATTGGGTTTTTGATGTAAGTTGGAGTATGTGAATGCCTTCAATACGGTATCCCACCCCATACTGGTGAACAAATTAAGAGGTTGTGACTCGGGTGATTACACGGTCCGGTGGGTGGCAAATTGGCTAGAGGGTCGTACCCAGAGAGTGGTGGTAGATGGGCCGGTACCGACCTAGAAGTGTGTGGGCAGTGGGGTCCCACAAGGCTCAGTCCTTGGACTGATACTCTTCAATGTCTTCATCAGTGGCTTGGATGAGGGAGTGAAGTATACTCTAAGTTTGTGGATGATACAAAACTGTGGGGAGAAGTGGACACACCAGAGGGCAGGGAACAACTACAGGCAGACCTGGACAGGTTGGACAAATGGGCAGAAAACAATAGAATGCAATTTAACAAGGAGAAATGCAAAGTGCTGCACCTAGGGAGGAAAAATGTCCAGCATACCTACTGCCTTGGAAATGACCTGCTCGGCAGCATGGAAGTAGAAAGGGATCTCGGAGTCCTAGCGGACTCCAAGATGAACATGAGTCGTCAGTGTGACGAAGTCATCAGCAAAGCTAACTGCACTTTATCATGCATCAGCAGATGCATGACAAACGGAACCAAGGAGGTGATACTTCCCCTCTATTGGGCCCTGGTCAGACCCCAGTTGGAATACTGTGTGCAGTTTTGGGCGCCGCACTTCAAGAGGGATGTGGATAACCTGGAGAGGGTCCAGAGAAGGGCCACTCATATGGTTAAGGGCTTGCAGGCCAAGCTCTACAAGGAGAGACTAGGGCACCTGGACCTCTTCAACCTCTGCAAGAGAAGGTTGAGAGATCTTGTGGCTGCCTATAAATTCATCATGGGGGCGCAGAAGGGAATTGGTGAGGCTCTTACTTCCCAAGGTG